TACAAAAATTATCTTTACATCCCCCAACACCAGTGTCCCTCATCCTAACAAATTTACCGAGGGGTGGACTTAAACCCCCAGAATCCCCAACCCAGCCATACTGGCTGGGGAATTCTGGGAGTTGAAGTCCACTCATCGTAAAGTTGCTAAGGATGAGGAACACTGGTGTTGAGGAATGTAAAGATAATCTTGGTATGCAGGAACAGCTAAGGCAAAACAGGAGAAAACATAGTTTTGGGACAGAGGAAGGCATGGGAAGGAACTCAGAATAACTCCACTTTGAATCTATTAAATTTAAGAGAGGTCAGAGGGAAACTCTAGCCGGCTTTCAAGATTCTGTTCTTATACCCTATTACAATAAAGTAGCATTTCTGGGATCCTTGAAGCATATGTTTCCTGACCTGGCCTACCTTGAAGGGCTGATAGTATACTGGTGGCTGAGATACTGGTGGGGAACAGCTGAAGATGGTGATGATCTTTCCAGAAGCAACTGGCCGATCACCATGTTACAATATTTGTATCCCTCCGTAACTCCAAGAACAACTCCTCGCCCCAGGAGAGGGTCCTCCGATACAATCTTCTCCAACCTCATACCTTCCAGAGGTCTTGGACAACTCCTAACTCCAAGAGAGAGAATTATGACTGGGGATAAGGGGAGTTAGAGTCTGAAGGCATCAAAGTTAGAGAGGGCTGATCACATGTAAAGAAAGTTATGGGTTTGCATACCATGTACAGTCCCTCCAGATGTGTAACCTACCCTTTTCCCACCCAGCATGGCCATGCAGAGTATTGAATGAAGTCCACACATCTGGAGGCTGGGGGAAAAACGCTAAAATAGAGATTGACTCCATACGCATGACCATGTAAACTTCTTGGCAACATTTGGTGTGCCAAATTATTGTTCTGAGATATTTTTCAGCAGCCTCGTGTAACAACAACCCTGGGATTTGGTGATCTCCCATCCTTCTGCTTAGCTTCAACATCAGGCAGAATGGCTCGGTGCTGTCACCTAGCGGGGATGGAGGGGAACGTTGGCTATGCTAAACCATATCTCTGCTTGCTTTCAGCTTAGTCCCAGGTCGCTCAATTATCCCATTGTTCCTTTGTGGACTTTAAATAGGCACACAGATTTAAGGAAGCTTTTGTGACTAAGAGCCCACTTAGTCCTGTCCTTCCAAAATACATATCGTTTTAGTGTTTAAATCGTCATAGGCATCCTTTGTGTTTCTATTGTGGTACTCTGAAAGAGCTAGAAAGTTATTTTAGTAAGGTATTCATACACCCTATGGAGTCCTTGGTGCCCTCTGAGCTTGGTTGTTTGATTGCAGACGTTTCATTCCTGCTTGGTATTGGCCCACTTGCTTTTTTCCTAGAAAGAAGGTTGAATCAAGAGTAGGTTAGTATTTTCCAAATAAGCAGAACAGTATCTTATCACGAAAACTGGAAAGTAGCTTCAAAACTCAAAATTTAAATGTATGCACTAAAATTTTGTAGGTTCGCTTAACCAGTCCTTGCACTCTATACCAAGCCAGCTCAAAACTATGCTTTGGTAATCTGTACCAATAACATTTTTTTTAAAAAAAAAATCTGCTTCTCGGGTTATAGGAGCGCCATGCTTTTCCAACAGAAATGCCATTGTTTTGGCTGGGTTGACTGCATACATTTCCATAACAAAGCACTGTTATTCAGGACGAGAAATTGGAATCTAACATGCATTTCAGCATTTTATTGGCGATGGCTGAGAATTCAGCGTGGAGAAGAAGCGTGGGTAGAGTTAAAATGCCCTCTAGTGGAAAATGCTGATTGGGTGGCTCACTCGATTTGCAAATGCGACCCTATTTTGCATGATTTGTGACTCAATATATTTAAGGTAGGCTCTCTCAGCCCTAGGAAGCAGAACAGCAAACCATTTCCGAAATCGTGCCAAGAAAACTGCAGAGACTTATCCAGGCGGTTGCCAGGAGTCAACCCGGACTCGGAGACACAAATATACATGTGACTGCTGAGGTTGAGAAACACTGGCATAGCGCTTGAGCCAATCCTAGTGGAAAATCAGTGTTCAGAATCCATTATTGCTGACTTCTGAGTCAAGACGGAACTGCTCGGTCTCTTCCCTGCTTCCACAGTCTGGCTGGGAATTCTGGGAGCTGTAGTCCCAGCACAACTCCTGGGCACTGAGTTGGGGAACGCCAATGACATGATAATGCCATCAGCGGCCAGATGGTTTGCTACTGCACCTTCAGCCTTTCTATCGCGGGCACTCACGGTGTTGATTAGGACCCTGAGCTGAAAGCTCCCCATTCTCGTTTCTGTTTGGCCTGTTGGGGTAATGAATTTCTCAGCTTCGATCCTGAAGCTCAGATCTGATAGCCCTACCTAAGGCAGAGGAGTCTATATTTAGAGATGCATGTCCAATTTAATTTCTCGTCTCCCCGATGCAGGAAGGCTGGGGCCTGGGAATGCCATCTACTGATAGAAACAGATGGCGACTTAAACATTTTGTATTTAATAGGGCAATGCAAATAATATACAAATGTAATATATGAATACATGCAAACTATCACGTGCTTGTTTCTTCTTCCCAACAATCCCATTCTCACCCACCCAGTTTTCTTCTTTTAAAGCCAATCTTTGACAGATGATTTCGGGAAAAAAGCTGCCCCCAAATTGGACGATGTGGGTTGATCTAAGGAAAGCCTTTCAGTACTTCCAAATGATTTGGGTTTTCTTCATAATAATAATTAATGTATAAACCTGTATGCTGCCTGACTCTCAACAGGCCTGGGTGGCTCACAGGAATCAAAGAAATTGCAATAAAGCATAAAAAATAAAGATAAAAGATGGGAAGTGCGATGAAGCGAGGGTCTCCCTGTCCCTCGCCAAAGGCCGGGTGAAGAGCCGGGTCTTCAAGGCTCTTCCAAACGAGAGCAGAGTGGGGGCCAGCTGGATCTCGGGGGGAACCTTGTCCCAGGCGCTGCAACAGAGAAAGTGCACTTTCGGGATCCCAATAGATGGCATTGTTTAATTGAAGGAACCCAGAGCGCGCCAACCCTGCAGGATCGAATAGGCTGGGCAGATGTCATGGGAGACCAGGCGGTCTCTCAAAGAACCAGGCCCTGTGCCATGGAGGGCTTTATGGGTAGTGACCAGCACCTTGAATCACACCTGGAAGCAAACTGGCAACCAGTGTGGCTTGCGAAGCAGAGGTATGCCCATCACTGCCCACGTTGCCACATTCTGGACCAGTGGAAGCTTCGGGGTGGTCTTCAAGGGCAGCCCCATGTAGAGTGCATTGCAGTAGCCAAGCCTCAAGGTGACCAGGGCACGAGTGACCATCTGAAAGACCCTCCTATTTTTGCATGATCAGCACAACCTGCCTCAGTCATTGGGAATTGGGCAGCATATACATTTTAATAATGATGATGGTGATGGTGAAGATAAAAATGCCAAATCCAGTCTAAACATCTGGCTGACTGTGCAACCAACCATAATAACTACAACAACAACTGAGGTTGTGGAAGGAAGCTGAGAGAGTTCACAAGGGCTCTCCTTTCAAAATCTTGATGCTTTTCCTTTGTGTTGATTACAACTCCCATCATCCCCAGCCATTCTGTCCAGATGTCACAAGACCATGGCACTTGCAGGAGCTGGCTGTGGATGAGAGATGATAGATAGATAGATAGATAGAGATAGATAGATAAAAGGTGGGATACTGATACTACTACTACTACTTCTACTACGAGTGTGGCCCGTCCACTTCAATCTTTACTAATCCCCAGGGACGCCAAAGGCAGCCTCTGCCTCTCAACAAACTCCATCTCCCAGAATTCAGAGCGGAAGGCGGAAGGCATAGAGACCGAGGGCGAGAGCGACCATGGGAGGAGGAGAGCGAGAAGCTTCCGCTTCCGGCCAGCCTCGCTTTGGGCCCTGCGGTGGCGGCCGAGCCTTGTGCCGCCGCCATATTGTCTGTGTGAGGCCGGTGAGGCGGGTGGACGGTCGGGCGGCCGGGGGCTGCTCAGGTAACGGCGAGGAGGCGACGGGCGGAGGGGGGAGCTGGGCAGGAGGGACCCCTTCTGCAACCCAAATGAAACCTCTTTGGCTGAGGGGCGGCGATGAATTGGGCGGCGGGCGCCTCGCCCCCTCCCCCGCGACTGTAGTCTCTAGGAAGGGAGGAGCGGGGGGGCAGAGACATGGAGGGAAGAGGGGTCCGTTAGTGGGGCGTTGCTCTTGCACCCCGTTGAGGCGAGGCTCCTTTGGGGTGGGCCTTTCCTCCCCTCCCCCATTTGGGTGGTCCTTCCCCAACCTGGCGCCCTCCAGAGGCGTCAAATTAACCCCTCCCCCCATGAGAGGACGGAGTGGGGGGCCGGTGGGTCCCTTGCAGGCGGGTTGGGGAGGGAGGGTCCCTCTTGTCGGGGTGGGGCGCTGAGGGACACACCCCTGTTGCGAAGGAAGTCTGCTGGGGGGCTTTCTGGGCAGGGGGGAGCAAGGACCCCCATCGTATAAATAAACATCGGTGGTGGCGGATCTTAATCCGAATTCTGAGGTTCTTCCCTCCCTAAGGCGGGGGGGGGCGGTCCGCCTGCCTGCTCCTCCATTCATTCCTCGGGTCTTGGCTCCTGCAGCAATACTGGGATCCTGGCGTCTTGCTCGAGAGGAGGGGGGGGAACCCTGCAACCCGTTGGCCGTGTTACACTGTCGTGGAAATGGGGAGGGTGAGGGGAGGCTGCTGGTGAGGTCTGCAGTGCGTCCTCCAAGCAGTCTCTTTCGGGGTGGGGGGTCGTCATAGGTGGCTTCCGTGCCTGTTGGAGGGGCTGTTATCCCAGAGGGGAGAATTGGGTTGGGTCTGGGTGGATGATGGGGCTCAGGTCTTGGTGGATGATGGGGTGCAGGGCATATGACACGTGTTTTTCTGCTCCTGCCCAGGATCTCTGCCCCTTGGGCTCTGTACAAGGCATCTTTTTCTGTGTTGGAGAGGAAGGACGTGTTTTCCCTTAGGTTTTCGGGTAATTAACTCAGTGTCTTGTAAAGGAGCAGAGGGGTTCCAGTGTCTGGCAGCTAGAAATAATTATGGGTGGTTTTAATCATGGATATTAATCTACAAGTAAGAAGACCTTTTGCCTGGGGGTAGTTTTTCCTAAGGTTGTTTTCTACTTTAAGTTTCTTCCAGGTAGCGCACTTAAGAGATAAATAGCTGCCTCCTGTAATGTTTGGTGAGAAGGGATTGCTGACTTTTGTTCCCCTGTCCATAGTAGGGACATGAAAAAATGATCTTGCTGCACTGCACTGAAGTGTTTTACTCAAATGTCCTGTTTCCAACAGTGGACAGCTAGAAGCTTCTGGGAACCATGGATACAGCCCATCTCATCTTGCTTGTTTAGTAGGGGTTGAGATATCTCCATCCTTCTTACAGTTTCTCAGTCATTTTGATGGCTTTCTACCTTGTCATGGCAGTAAAAAGTTATTGACCATCTTCTGGGGAGAAAAATATTCCTTTGTGCCGTCCAGATGCAGAAGGTTTGTGTATTTGAGAATCTTTTTCTCCCTTACTACTGGTTGAATGTATTCCGGGGTTCTTCACTCCATCCTGCAGTCAGCAGTCTTCAAGAGCCAGCTAGTCATTGCAAAGGAATTCTGTGGGATTAAAATGGTTAAGCATAATAGTTTGGAAAGTATTCTTGTACCTAAAACTTATGGAGGCTTTTCAAATGGATTGTACCTGTTATTTAAGTAAAAATGTTATGCTGCTTCTTTTAATGAAGCTGTTTCTTCCCTTATACTTGCAATGAGGGCATAACATTTGCCTCTTATTCTTAATTTACCTTCATGCATAGTTTCTGCATTTCCTGAGATGCTGCCTCCTCCTTAATCTTTGTGGAGAAATGTTCCTGGTTATGAGGGACCACAGTGAAACTTGTAGAGTCACATCCCACTGCTTTTCTAATATTAGTCCTTTATAGGAGTGAGGGAGCTTCCCAAAAAATACTGGTGCCACCTGTTTAGACATTGTGTAGTTTTTCTTCCTACAGTTCTGTATCAATATGTAGAAGGTGCCTATATTTGTTGTCCTTAAGCTGTATAGTAGAGAAGTAACAGTGGTAGATATGAGCAGTTGCCCTATGGTGTGTGTTACTTAGGGAGATTTCTGAGGTGGGAGAATATAACCTTTTATGGTACAGTTTAGAATACATCTTGCTACATCTCGACCCTTTTTATCTGTTTCTAGTATGGCTTCCTCTTCCCCATCACTACTGTGGAGAGAGTGGTTCCTTCTGTCCATGGTAGTTTTTGGTTTTTATAAAAGTGTGATCTCGCTGTCTTGGGAGACTCCTCCCTCTTCTTCCTAAATTGACAGTTTATTGATAGAGATCTCATATTCAGCTGCATGTACAAATGCCTGGTTTAGTGGCCTAATTCTCTATCAGGATTCTCCTAGTTCTTATCATCGTCTTTGCCTTTACTGTTGTCTGTTTGATCATGGACTTTATACTGTGGCAAATGTTAATTGTGAATCAGCTAGAAACCCGTTTGTTTTATTATGGAAGACATTTTTAATTGGTGAGGGTAAGTTTACCTTAAGAATTGAAAGTATTTTTGCTTATGTAATTCTTTGGGTTATTTCAGATTTGTTCATTGTTGTAGTAGGAAAAGCAAAATAATTGGCCTTCTCTTTATTATTAATCAATTAACAGAACAAGGGTCCTACCTTTTCCTGCTTTTCCCTCTCAAATCCTTGGAAAGGAAGGAGGAGTTTTTCTTCCTCTGGATTAAGTAAGATGAGGAAAACTCTTCATTGGCCTGCTTTACACTTCATAATGTGGTTTTTCTCCTGCCCATTATCTAGCATTTATATGAACTAGACCATTATGATTTGCTCTGCAAACAATTTTTTAAACATCTTGGTTAACATTATATTCAGAAACAGTCCTTGCATTTGTCTGCATCTGTCTCTTCCTTGGCTATTTTAGAGTGGAGTCATATCTAACATTCCAGCCCATCCCTTTTGGAAGAGATGGCAATATTAAGTCTTTATCTTGCCAGCATCTGGCACCTGCTTTTTAAAAAAAAGAAAGTGATGTTGAGTCACATCTGAGCTGTCCATATTCCAGTTCAGATTAGAATCTGGGCCCTGTTAATATCCTGACTGAACATTCATTAACTAGAAAAATATAGTGCTTCCATTATCTGCCTCAAATATTTAAGAATCATGAGCATTAAAGACATTTCACGTTTACAGGTCAATTCAGATCAGATATGACTGCACTGATGAATTTTATAAAAGCGTTGTTGTATTCTAGAAATCTTCAAACTGTCAGACAAATAGCAACAACTGTGCTCTTCTGTAGGCTCATTTCAAAGTAAGCATAACCTTAATCTGCGCAGCCAAGCAAAGGGAAGTGCAAGCCATGGAATAATAGGTATTCAGCTTCTTATGTTATTTGTACAGAAAGAGGTTAGGTCCCAAGCAACGCTTTCTGTTTTGTTGCTGATGGCAATGCCTGTTCAGTTTCCTGATTTGAACCCATTGTCCTCACAGCGGAGTGCCCCCAAACAGTCTCAGCTTTACAAGGTCCTTCTTTGTGGACCAGTTCAGGCTTGAGCTGCACATAAACCCAGTTTGTAAAATTACCATTTAAGAAATGGGGGAAGTTTTCTAAAATCTGTTGAACTCTTTTTCTGCTTTATCAGTTTTTCCAAGACTTGCCACTGGAGCCAGGATTGGCGTGCTGGTGCCAACTAAATTAAGGGGAGAAGTTGCCATTTGGTGTACGTTGCCATTGAGAATGGCTTCTTTTCATGAGATGATGAATTTTACATAGTTTATTTCATGCAGTTTACTATGTTTTTGAGTCCATGTTTTTTTTTAAAGAAAACAAAAAGGCACACTTCAGTTAAAAAAAAGTTTGTGCCAAAAAATTGGAGGTAGGGTACCCAATAAGATAATAAAAAGTGCAATAATGAAATAGTAGTAAATGTTAAATATCTGAGTGAAGCATGAAGGCCTGGCCTACAGGTTACCTGTTGTGAATTAATCACATGTGAAGAATTGCTTTTCCCTGGTGAGTAGGTAATTGCAAGGCTGTGCTTGAGTCTACTGCAAATCTAATGTTTGCATTTTGGAGCTCCAGAATTCTTCATTATATTGTATGGATTAACTCTGCATGAATTCCTTGAATCCAACTTTCTTCTAAGGATTCCAAATTTAGAGAAGAGATACAGCAATATTGATTGGGATGGCCCAGTGTGACAATGGAAGTGGAGCAAAGGGGATGGGAGAAGGCTTATGGAAGCTGTGACGCTTGTTTACATTGTGGTTACAGATAGTCCTCATTTAGCAACTGCCTCATTTAGTGACTGTTTGCAGTTATGACTATAATGAAAAAGTAACTTTATGACCAGTCCTCACATTTATGACCATTGGAGGTCTGTAAAGCAAAGGAAAGCTGAATAAGACCATAAGCACAGTTGCAGTTTTACTTAGCAACTGGTTCACTTAACAACCAAGTTGCCAGTCCCAATCGTGGTCGCTAAATGAGGACCACCTGTAGTCGGTCAGCAGTGGAATCATTAAGAGATCCCAAAATAAATTTGCAAGAACAGAAACTAGGTTCTGGTGGGATACATGGCCTTGGCTTAAAGGTTGGCATTTGTTTATGGCATTTTTGTTCTCTTCCATTCGAGTTGTATTTGTTCTTGCATTTAAGTACAAATATGGCATGGTCTCACTAGGTGTTCCTCAATTATTTGTCACTGCTGATCATAAAGTATGAAAAATAGGGTGAGTGTGAAGTTCCCTCTGAGATGAGTCAAGATAGTTTGCATCTTTCCAAGAGATGCTTTTCACACTAGGCAGAGAGGTGGAGAGATGACGCAGCACCCTCTTTGCAACCACTTATTATAGTGCAAATTCAGAAAACTGCTCATGGAGATAGAATAATGGGAAGGATAGTTTCTAAATTTTTTTTTTTTGAAAATGGCTTTATATTTAGTTGGGTTTATCGCTTCTTCCATTCCAAAGGTG